GGCGTGAGTGTGCTGGGGTGGGCGGGTGGGTGGTTTTTGGGGTGCAGTGGCCCCCTTCAGCCCCCCAGGGTGCTGGGTGCTGTCCCCACGGGGCTGTAACCTTTCGTGTGTCACCAGGAGGTGGAGGACGAGGCTCTGTACTCCATGCACATCCCGGCCAGCGTGTACCGGGTAAGGGGGCCGCGGTGGAGGCAGCTCCTGCATGGGTCACGGTGGCTGTCACCCTCCTGGGATGTGGCCTCTGTGCTGTCCTGGGACGTCCTGTCACCCCAGCATCCTGCCCCCCACGAGTCAGGCTGGGGACCTTCCTGGGTGATGGTGGCCACAGGACATGCCTGCATGCAGGGTGGTGGTGTCCCCTGTCCCCTATGCTCATCCACCCCTGCATGTCACCAGGGTCGGCTCTGGACCCATCTGCACCCCCCATCAGCTCTGGCTTCCCTCTCTCTGCCCCCTCCAGATGCGGAAAGGTCCATCTGCCTCCTCAGTGCCCTTTCCCCCATCCTCTCCACTGCTCTCCTGCCCGCCTGACAGTGCCCGGCACATGGTAACATACCTGGGGAGGGGGCAGCTCCTGGGGTGGGGGGACCCCAGCCCTGCATGGGAACAGGGCTAGCACGGTTTGACACTGCTCCTCTCCTCTCAAGAGCAAGCTGGACCGACACGGCAGTGGCACTGACAGTGACTATGACAACACGCAGACGGGTGAGGTCCTGATCAGGTGAGTGCCAGGGCTGAGGACTGGGCTGGGGATATGGGCACACAGGGCTGGCACTGACCCCAGGGGGTCGGTTGGTCCCTGTAGCATGGAGGGGAAGAGGTTTGTGGAGCTGAGCAAGGATGAGGACTTTCCCCATGAGCTGGACCCACTGGATGGGGAGCTGGACCCTGGGCTGCCCAGCACCGAGGACGTCATCCTGAAAACCGAGCAGGTCACTAAAAACATCCAGGAGCTGCTGCGGGCAGCACAGGAGTCTAAGCACGACAGGTAGGGCTCGGACATGGCCATGGGGTCCCTCTGCACCCCACGGTCCCAGGGACTGTGTTCATATAGGGTCATCCCTGTGGTTGGGAGCCATCACCACCCACCCCCAGCACACACCCCCTCTGCTCTCCCCCAG